TTCAAACCAATAGTTGAAGCAGCGACTCCCCTGGCTTGAGGGATTCCTGGCACTGATGGGTGCCGGGTGCCGAGCTGGTCATGTTCAGTGGAAGGGAGGAGACCTATGCTCAAGAGCCAGCTCCACCACTGACTGATGATGCTAGGCAAGGGGCATCATATCTCTGACTCAGTTTCCTGAGCTGCAAAATGGTGCTGATAACTCCCACCTCGCAGATTGTGAGGAAGATTAAATAATGAATGAGAAGAACTCAGTAACAATTCGTGCAGCCCATTTATGGCAGATGCATTTTCTTCCATCTGTGCACTGATATTTAGTTTGTGGGTTAACAGCTATGACACCCAGTATCCCTGAAGCCTATTCACAGATGTGGGAGCTGACACTTGGGTCATTTCTTCCCTATTTTATAACAGAGTTATCTAGTTTCTGTGCCGACCCTCATGAAGGTGCTTTCTCTTTCTATGATCCATCTCCTCAAACTTGGTACCATGCAGAAGAGTTTTGTTTACAGCAATAGGAAGGAAGTTTGAATCGATTTGCTTGTACATTTTGGTTAGCCATACTTTACTCACACTCTGAAATTCAGACGTGTAGTTTAGAGAGTTGTTCCTCTTAAATGATATCAAATGCCTTTATCCAGGGAAATTGTTGAGATTAAAATATGGCAAATACAATCACTTATAAAAGTAAAAACACTAAACCTTTAGTTCTATTTTAGGTTTCCAGGTAGAGTGCATGAGTGGATAATGTGATCTTGTAAAATTCTGGTGTTTTCTTCAAGTTGAATTGTATTTATTGTCAATTCTTCCATCTACTACTGCAAAGAGGTTTGGTGAAAGAAAGAGTCATCAGGATGACTTGAGGTTTAACCTCAGCAACAATTTGCTAAAAACAGCATCAAATATCTCTTTGTGAAGCTGTCCCTGTTCAATTTCAGATAAATGAATGTATAAGATAAAACAAACACTGTAAGTCATTGCTAATCATTAAAATCATGTGGATTCTGGGACACTTAAAAAGATAAAAACCTTTGCATTTTTATTCTAGGGAGTGGTATTAGTTAAGATTCACAATCATAAATAGGAGAAGCCCAAGTATAAGTAGCTTAAGAATAAAGACTGAATGATAAAAATTTTTCACGAACCATCCATCAAGAATGTGATTGAATCTTATTAACAAAGCCAGGGACTCAGTGCATTTAAGACTCTCATTCCATCTCTCCTCTTTGCCCCTTTCTGTTTACTGTTTATTCTTCTTGCTCTGACTGCAGACCCATCCTTTTATTCTGGCCACATGGAGAAAAGCAAGACTGACAACAGATTCTAAACCAGGTATTGAATATTCTGTCACTGGAGAGAGTTAGCCCCTCTCTCTCTTTCTCAGATCTAATTCCCAAATTCTTAGAAAAAGGCTGTTTCAGTCAGCTTTTTTGCTGCTGTGACTAAAAGATCTGATCAGAAAAATTTTAGGGGAGGAAAAGTTTATTTGGCTCATGGTTTCAGAGGTCTTAGTCCATAGAAGGCGGGCTCCATTCCTCAAGGTGAGGCTGAGCATCATGGAGGAAGAATGTGGCAGAGGGAAACAGCTCACATGATAAGAGAGCAGAGAGGTGTCTCTACTTTCTAGAAAGAAATATATACCCCATAGCCACGCCCCAATCCCACCTCCTCCAGCCACACCCTACCACTTCAGTTACCACTCAGTTAATCTCTATCTGGATTAATTTATGGATTGGGTTAAGGCTCTCGCAACCCAATCATTTCTCCTCTGAACCTTCTTGCAAATTGTCTCATACATGAGCTTTTGAGGGATACCTCACATCCAAACCATAATAAAGGCTTTGCTTGGTCCAGCATGTGTCAAGTGTATATGCTCAACTCTATTGGGGTTTCCAGAAGCAGGTCCTGGAAAGGCCTTTGATTGGCCTAGCAGGGAGCAGGTATATATGTCACCTGTGTGTACCAATTGACTGCAGCTGGCTGATTGGGGTGACACTGAAGATCATGTAGACAGGAAGTAAGGAGCAGTCCCTAGAAAAGAGGAACTAGGGCAGGGTGTAGTAACACACACCTGTGATGCCAGCCACTTCCTGGGAGGCTAAGGCAGAAGGATCACAAGTTTAAGGCCAACTTGGGCAATTTAGTGAGATCCAGTCTCAAAATAAAAATTAAAAAATAGGTTTAGGGGTGTAGTCAGTGGTCGAGCACCCCTGGGTTCAATCCTCAGTACAGAAGAGGGACAGAGTGTAGGAGAGAGAGAGAAGGGGAACAAGGGAGAGAATAGATGAACAATATTATGGACGGAATGTGTCCCCAAATCCATATGTGGAAGCCCTAACCTCCAATATAAGATATTTGGAGAGGGGCCTCAGGGAGAGAATAAACTTTAAGTGAAAATATAAGGGTGAGGTCCTAATTTAAAAAGACTGGTGACCTTCTATGAAGGAGACATTAGAGTTGTCCTTCTCCCTCTCTCATTCCCTCTCTCCTCATGAGCACAGAGGAAGGCCATGTGAGGACACAGCAAGGAGATGGTCATCTACTAGCCAGGAGAGGCCTCAGACACCAATACTTGTGCCACCTTCATGTTGGACTTCCAGCTTCTGGTAAATTGTTGTCTAAGCCACCCAACCTATGACATTTTGTGATGAAATGCTAAGCAGACTTCTATAGCACTGGAAAGGCATACTCCTTCCCTTCTCTGTAAAATGTACTTGTTTACCTATTACCACTAGGATTAAATCAAATACAAATAGCAAGACTTCCAATAACTGATTTATAAGCATCAGTGTCCTCTGGGCATTATGGTGCATGCCTGTCATCCAGCTACTCTGGAGGCTGAGGCAGGGGGATCGCTTAAGCCTAGGAGTTTGAGGCCACCTAGGCAAAATAGACTCTGTTCCAGAAAACTAACTACCCCAAAATGCTGGTTTCGGTTAAAAGAAGTTGAGATAAGTCATCTGGGGCAGCTCCTCAAATCATCAGGGACATGGGCTCCGTCTGTCTTTCTGTTCCACCCTCCTCACTGCATGACTTCTACCTCCAGATTGCCTTGTGGGCTCAGACGGCTGCTGAAGCTCCAGCTGTCAGGTCCTTTTTCTAGTCAGCAGGAAAGAGGAAGGGAGAGGAGATGATATTTATTTCATTGTCCATACTCCTCTTGGAAGGGTTCCTTGGAAACCCTCTAACCGTTTCTATGCACATCTCCTTGAACAGAACTTAGTCACTTGACCACCTTTACTGCAAGGGAGGCTGGGCCATATGCCTTTTGGGCACATGGCTGCCATCAGTAACATAGTAGTTCTGTTAGAAAGAAAGTGGGAATGGACAATTCGTCACTGCCATGGTTGTTTTGAGCCAGTCAATGGAAAATGCTGGAAACAAGTGTGGCATACACATAACCATAGCCAGTCTCTGAAGAGACACCAGAGCAGGAGAGGGTCCAGGGCCAGGTGGAGAGATTAGCCTGGCAGAGGAGAGGCATTCCTCTTTTGTGTTATGGAAATAAAGAAAGAAGAAAGGTGAAGATAAGCTTGTAGATTGCCTTGTGGTGGGGTAAGAGTGCTCCTCCTCACCAGGTGTGGTGGCTCATACCTGTAACCCCAGTGGGTTGGGAGGAGGAGGCAGGAGGACCCCAACTTCAAGGCCAGCCTCAGCAACTTAGAGACCCTAAGCAATGTAGCAAGACCCTGCCTAAAAAACAAAAAAGATAAAAAGGGCTGGGGGTGTGGCTCAATGGTAAAAGTGTTCCTGCGTTCAATCCCCGTACCAAAAAGGGGGAGCTCCTACTGATTGGCATCTATTATCCCCGAGGAAAAGAGGTGATGAAAGCACTGGGGGTGAAAAATCATAATGGACTAGAGTGAAAGCTCCATTTTTTAAATTTAATTTTACTTTTTTTAAACAAGGAGGAGCAAGCAAGTTGGTGGTTGCCCACCTTGGCAGTGCATTAAAAAAAAAAAAAAAAAAACCTGATGAGCTTTTAAAAAGTACCTTCGGGCCTGACAGTGGGGCTCAGGCTTTCGTACTTTGGTTATCGTAGTTTGGTGTTTTCAAGTTGTTCTTTAAAAAGGTATCTGAGTAATTTGAACATTCAAGTAGGATGAGAACCGCTGATGGGTTTCTAAGTCGTTAATTGAGCGTGGGTTGTAACAGAGCCTGGTCTGGGAGTCAGAGAGAAGTTTTGTCCCCAGAATGCCCTGCACACATCACCAAGCCAACCTCAGCTTCATTCAGAAAATGAACAGGCTGGATCAAAATAAAATTAGAAGGCATTTAAAACAGTAATATGTAATAAAATGAATCCTTGTGGATTATCTCCACTTGACTGTTACCAATAAAATCATCTATAATTTGGGGACCTAGCACATGGGAAGACACAGATTCGATCACCAGCACCAAAAACAAACAAACAAAAAGAATTATCTGTAAGCAATACATTTCCTTATGCCAAGTTTCCTATCAGGTACAAGAAAGTCCTTTTGGAATTCAGCAGTTTTTTTTTTGTTTTTGTTTTTTTTTTTAAAGTAAGTTCTTTAATTAATGTTCTGGAAGGTGATTACACCTGTTTGGCCATTTTCTTTAACAAGCTGCACTATTACACTGTCTGTCCCTGATTATCAGCCAGAGAGCTATCTAATTAGTGTGGCAGATAGATTTGCTCCCCCCAAAATGAGGAATATTGTTGCTCACAAAGGTATTATTAACTGTTCCATATGAAGCCATTTGAAGAAGGGTTTCAGCTAAAAGCAAAAAAAAAAAGTAGTTGAAAATGAGTGTCATGTTGAAATGATCTAAGGAGATAAAAGAAGACTGCATTGCTGAGAAGAAAATTATATACATTAGGTCATTGCTTTCTCATCAATTATACAGTGGCAATTTAGGGAAAAGCAACAGTGATGATAAAATAATGCAGTGTTATGAAAGAGCTTCAGAAAACACACTGTTTCCGTCAGCTTTTTTTGCTTCTGTGACTGAAGGACGTGACCAGGGCAATTGTAGAGAAGGAAAAGTTTATTTGGGGGCTCATGGTTTCAGAGGTCTCAATCCACAGACAGCAGACTCCATTCCTCAGGGCTTGAGGTGAGGCAGAATATCAAGGCGGAAGAGTGTGGCAGAAGGAAGCAACTCACATGATGACCAGGAAGCAGAGAGAAAGACTCTACTTACTAGATTCAAGTATATACCCCATGCCACGCCCCCAAGGAACCACTTTCTCCAGCCACAGCCCACCTGCAGTTACCACTCAGTTAATCCCATCAGGGATCAATTCACTGATTAGGTTAAGGCTATAGCCCAATCATCTCTCCTTCAAATCTTCTTGCATTGTCTTACACGGGACCTTTGGGAGCACACCCTCACCTGCAAACCATAACACAGACTGAGGTCTGAAAGCTCTTTGATGCCTTCATGTAATATTGTTTCCTTCTCACAGGTAGCAGATAGAATTAACAGTTGGGGCCATTGTTTATCATTCATTCATTCTTTCAACATTTGTCAATAACCTACTTATATGAAAGGCATTAAAGATTTTCAGGGAACTGTTAAACATAAATTATGGGAGGACTTTGTTTTGGACTGAGCTCCTACACTGGCCCCAGCAGATCAGACCAAACCAAGATGGAGTCACTCAGGTTAAATGCCACATCATGAAACCCAAATTTTAAAGAAGACTTAAAATATGATATCTGAGTGTGCTTTAACCCTTACAAAAAATGATGTAAAATAACCTAGTGTTAACCAATCAGTTTCCCCACCCCCCATTCTGTTTCCTTGTTCCTGCCTTACAAAACCCATTGAACCCACTGTTTTACCCACCTGGTGGAACTCTCATTCCGTTTCACAGAACGGAGGCAGTCCCTATTCATGAATAATAATTCAAAATCCAATTAGATCTATAGTTAAACTTGGTGAATTTTTTTTTTTTTTTTTTTTTTTTTTTACAGAACAAAGCAGACAAAACTCCTGCCTCCTGGATCTTATATTGTAGGGGGTGACAATGAACAATGTTAGTGGGTATGCAGCATATTGTGTTTGAGAAGGTGGTGTTGCTGCAAAGAAAGGAGAAGCTGAGGGGAACTGGAATAATGAGAGTGGAGGAGGCTTGCTATTTTAGAGAGGCCTGGGAAGGCCTGGATGGTGGGGGGGGGGGCGGGGGGGGGCAGCAGCAGTTACCGAAGGCTGCATTCTGGTGAGCTATGCAAATCCCTGGAGAAGTACATTTCAGGAGGGAAATGGCACGTCCCCTGTGGCCAGTGTAGTTGGAGCTGATGGGAGGAACCTGGGATGGAAAGAGATAAAGCCGGGAGGTCTCATAGGTTGCTGTAGTGATGGAACTCCTATTGTGTGTGAGATGGACATCACTGGCAGGTTTTCAATGGGATCATTCGGTGACTCTGTTGAAGATTGACCTCTGGAGGCTTTTACAGTCCCTCAGGCAGGAGCTGATGTGTTTGAATGAGGGTGGTTGTGTTGAGATGGTAAGATGTAATCCAATTTCTGAGTATATTTTGAAGGTATGATGGGGAGGTTTTCCTGACAGAGAAGATGTGAGAAGTGAGAGAAAAGGTCAAGGAAGAATCCAAGATTTTTGAGCAACTGGAAAAGTGGAAATATTATTTTCTGAGATGAGGATGAAGGAGTTTAGGAAATATGATGCTCAAAATATGATGCTGTGGCGTACTGAGGGCTTTGAACTGGGGACTCTTGGGGGACAGCAGATGCAGCCAGAGGTGTTCTCAGAGCTCCTCTTGTCTGCCTGAGGACAGAAGAGGCTAGAGGTTAGTTTAGCACCCAGACTAGATTCCTCACAGGCTGCCAACTATTCTTGTCAAGGCTGTACCCAAACAATTTTTTATCACCTAAGAGGCTTTTTATCTTCATGACAACTTTTATTTATCATTAATTCCTGCTCCCCTCCCATGGCTTGAATTGCCATCATCCCCCAGAAATCCCAAGTCCCTCTTCCTTTCAGGGTGCTAGGGAAGTTTCACGCACTGAATCCTTCCTCCAGTCTCCAAATTTGAGGGACTCCCATATGTACATCTGTAATCGAATATCTTTCCCCTCTTAATCTATCTTGTGTCAATCTAATTTGCTGGCAGCTGGAAGTTTGCTGGGGCCCCAGACGAGGAAACAGCCCAGACGAGGAAACTGAAAGGGTGGTGGAAAGCCATTTTTTTTTCTCCCCTACAGGGACATGTGTGAGGTTTAAATCTTACACACTTGATGATGTATGAATGAAGATGTCAAGGAGACTGTTGAATGGATGAGTCTGGAGTTTGACATAGAGGCTGGGTTAACCTGTTTTCATAATGTGTGGATTGCATTTAAAGCCAGGAGAATGGGCAAGATCACCAAGGGAGAACTGAAGTCAGTGCTGTGGGGCCTTCATCGTTTCAGTGAGTAGGAGCTATGGAGAAGCCATAAAAGGAGATTGAGAATGATTGGCAGAGAAAGGGGTCCTGGCCTGTGAGGTCCCTGGAGGGAAGAAAGTATTTCAGGAGGAAAGAGTCATTACCTTAGATAATTAGAAATTATTTTGAAAACTTGTACTCCAATAAAATAGAAAATGTCAAAGGCGTCGATATTTAATTCTTAAGCCATATGATTTGCCCAAATTGAATCAGGATGATACACACAATTTAAACAGACCGATATCAAACGATAAGTAGAAGATGCCATCATAAGCCTACCACCAAGAAAAGCCCAGGACCAGATGGATACACAGCCGAATTCTACAAGACCTTTAAAGAAGAACTAATACCAATACTCTTTGATTTATTTCAGGAACTAGAAAAAGAGGGAGCATTTCCAAACTCTTTCTATGAGAACAATATCACCCTGATTCCCAAACCAGATAAAGACATCTCAAAGAAAGAAAACTTCAGACCAATATCTCTAATGAACATAGATGCTAAAATTCTCAATAAAATTCTGGCAAATCAAATACAAAAACATTTCAAAAAGATTGCGCACAATGATCAAGTGGAGTTCATCCCAGGGATGGTAGGTTGGTTCAACATATGGAAATCAATAAATGTAATTCATCACATCAGTACACTTAAAGATAAGAATCATATGATCATCTCAATAGATGCAGAAAAAGCATCCGAACAAAATACAGCACTCCTTCATGTTCAAAACACTATAGAAAAATTAGGGATAACAGGAACATATCTCAACATCGTAAAGGCTATCTACACTAAACCCCAGGCCAACATCATTCTAAATAGAGAAAAATTGAAGGCATCCCCTCTAAAAACTGGAATAAGACACTTCTACTTAACGTAGTTCTTAAAACACTGGCCAGAGCAATTAGACAAAATAAATTAAAGGGATACAGATAGGAAAAGAAGAACTCAAATTAGCAGTATTTGTAGATGATATGATTCTATACCTAGAAGACCCAAAAAGTTTCATCAGAAAACTTCTAGAATTAGTAAGTGAATTCAGCAAAGTAGCAGGATATAAAATCAACACCCATAAATCAAAGGCATTTCTGAATATCAGTGACAAATCCTCTGAAAGGGAAACGAGGAAAACTACCCCATTTACAATAGCCTCAAAAAAGAAATAAAATACTTGGGAATTAACAAAAGAGGTGAAAGACCTCTACAATGAAAACTACAGAACCCTAAAGAAAGAAATCAAAGACCTTAAAAGATGGAAAGATCTACCTTGCTCTTTAGAATAGGCAGAATTAATATTATCAAAATGACCATACTACCAAAAGCACTATACAGATTTAATGCAATTCCAATCAAAATTCCAATGGTATTCCTCATAGAAATAGAAAAAGCAATCATAAAATTCATCTGGAAAAATAAGAGACCCAGAATAGCTAAAGCAAACCTTAGCAGGAAGAGTGAAGCAGGTGGCATCACTATACCAGACCTTAAACTATACTACAGAGCAATAGTAACAAAAATAGCACTATGTTGGCACCAAAACAGACATGTGGACCAATGGTGCAGAATAGAGGACACAGAAACTAATCCACAAAATTACAATTATCTTATATTAGACAAAGGCACCAAAAACACACATTTGAGAAAAGATAGCCTTTTCAACAAATGGTGCTCGGGAAACTGTAAATCCATATGCAACAAAATGAAATTAAACCCCTAACTCTCACCATGCACAAAACTCAACTAAAAGTGAATCAAGGACCTAGGAATTAAACCAGAGACTCTGCTTCTAATAGAAAGAAATTTGACCCTAATCTCCATCATGTAGGATTAGGCCTCAACTTCCTTAATACAACTCCTGTAGTGCAAGAATTAAAACCAAGAATCAATAAGTGGGATGGAGTCAAACTAAAAAGTTTCTTCTCAGCAAAAGAAACAATCTGTGAGGTGAATAGAGAGCCTACATCTTGGGAGCAAATTTTTACCCCTTACACATCAGATAGAGCACTAATCTAGTGCTCAAAAAGCTAAACACCAAGAAAACAAATATAAAGAACTCAAAAAGCTAAACACCAAGAAAAAAAAATAACCCAATCAATAAAAGGGCCAAGGACCTAAACAGACATTTGTCAGAAGGTGAAATACAAACAGTCAACAAATATATGAAAAAATGATCATCATCTTTATCAATTAGAGAAATGAAAATCAAAACTACTCTAAGATTTCATCTCCCTGCAGTCAGAATGGCAGCTATTATGAATACAAACAACAATAAGTTGGTGAGGATGTGGGGAAAAAGGCACACTCACACACTGCTGGTGGGACTGCAAATTGGTGCAACCAATATGGAAAGCAGTGTAGAGATTCCTTGGAAAACTGGGAATGAAACCACCATTTGACCCAGCTATCCCTCTCCTCGGTCAATACCCAAAGGACTTAAAAACAGCATACTAGAGGGACACAGCCACATCAATAGAAGCACAATTCACGATAGCTAAACTGTGGAACCAACCTAGATGCCCTTCAGTAGATGAATATATATATTAAAAAAATGTAGCATATATACACAATGGAATATTACTCAGCAATAAAAGAGAATAAAATCATGGCATTAGCAGGTTAATGGGTGGAATTAGAGAAGATAATGTTAAGTGAAGTTAGCCAATCCTAAAAAACCAAATGCCAAATATTTTGTCTGATATAAGGAGGCTGATTCATAGTGGGGTAGAGAGCGGGAGCATGGGAGGATTAGAAGAACTCTAGATAAGGAAGAGGGGTGGGAGTGGAAGGGAGGGGCATGGGTTTAGAAATGATGGTGGAATGAGATGGACATCATTATTCAAAGTATATGTATGAAGACACGAATTGGTGTGAATATATTTTGTATACAACCAGAGATATGAAAAATTGTGCTCTGCCTGTGTAATATGAATTGTAATGCATTCTGCTGCTATCATATATAACAGATTAGAATTAAAAAGTTAAAAAAATTTAAAGAAGATTAAAAAAATAAAAGAGTCATCAGCTTGGTGAAATCCTCTGCAGCAGGGCTCCCCTGACCCCAAAAGTAGGATGAGGAGAGCTTGGGGGACCCCAGTGACACTGCCCAGCACCACACACTGGGCCTGCGGTCAATTTGAAATTCAAAACCCTGTTTGACCTTAATCCAAGCTCCTAAGGGGAAAAAGCTACTTAGTCCATGTATTGGCAATGTTGATTATATTTGTAATACTGTGTTATTTTCTGGAACTTATTTTGCCAGATAGGAATTTCTACTTCTGAGTAAAACAAAAGAAACAAAATTGGGAAAGACAGCATAAAGGTTTATAGAGCACTTCTGGAAATCACTGTTTGTTACCGCATGGAGGATGGGTTGAATCTGTCGTCTATTGTGCTTGCAGAACGTTTCTGGGTTTTGTTGTTTGCATTAAAATTGCTTTTCTGTAGTGCTCTGGGCATCAGCACGCGCCTTCCCATCCCTCACAAGGTTGCATATGTTGCCTCTGTGCAATCAAATGTAATCTCCAAAGTAACAAATCGAATAGAACGTGCAATGAATATTAAAGAAAGAAAATGAACCTGCAAACGCTCGGCAGCTGGCAGTTTCTTAAAAATCCTAATCTCTTCATTTGATGAAATACAAGTGATTTCCAATTTCAGCAATTAAGATAAAATAAATCTACATTAAATACCAAAGTAAAATGAGTGCTGAACTTTGCTTAAATCTAGATAAAAAGTGGTTTGAAATAAGTGTCATTTACCATTATCATATGAATAGCAAATTTTGCATATTTACTATGAAATCCCAAGGAACACTCCAAAACCAAGGATCACGAGTGCAAGGAAAACTTCAGGTTGGCGCTGTTTGATAGGTGGACAGGAGCGGTCCTGAGCTGCCTTACAGTACGGGTCTCCAGAGTTTTGCAGCCCTGTTTTCTCAGTGCATCTTCTCAGCTCAGCCACTCATCCATCAGCTGACATTCTCAGCCTCGGCTCTCAGTCTTCCTGTTCCTTCCTTTGCTGCATCGGAACTCTTCCCTGCCTGCTGAGTCAAGTACTCTGCATATGCTTTCTTTCATATGTGATATTATTTAATCCTCTCAATTAATGACCCTTTTTAAGGCAGAACTTGAAACTTGAACAGATTCAGGGTTTACAGCCAGATTCTGAGAAGTGGGATTCTAATCTGTTGGTGTGTAATGCCCACAAGTCCCATTGCTTGATATCACCACTAAATATTTTAGCTTAAAAATATACTTTTGGTGGATGTGGTGGTACATGCCTATTAGTTTGTTGGGAGGCTGAGGCAGGAGAATGGCCTGAGATCAGACTGAGCAACATAGCAAGATCCCATCTCAAAATAAAAAAGTAAGGAAGTAAATAAATAGAGAGATAACCAAATATGATATGTAGCCCAGAAATCATAAAAGAAAAATATAAACAGATTTGCTATGAAGCAAATGAAGCTTTTTTTATATAGCAAAAGAAAATAAAGAAAAAAACAGGCTGGGAAAAATTATTTGGAGCTTACATAACTGAAAAGATTATATATAAAGCTCTCCTGCAAACAACTAAGAAAACAGCTCACAACAGAAAAATGGCCAAAGGTGAATGAAAAACAAGGAATACAAAAGAGTAATAAACATATAAGAAAATGTTCCACTTTGTGTTCCCCGCAAAATGCAAACAAGTACCCACCACACTGACAAACATTTTAAATACAGATAATATAGGCAAAGTCTTTTTGGAGAAAAAAAATGATATTTACCAAAATGTAAGTTATTATTTCTTGACTCAGCAAGTCTACATGTAGGCAACTGTCTTCCCACACTCTCACACCTTATAAAATCTACATATATGTCTAATGATATATAGAAGAGGATTTATTACAGGAATGGGTGTGAAAAGTTAGTAACAACCTAAACGTCCATTCATAGAATAGGTAAACACATACATGCTGTATGGAATACTATGCAACTGTTTAAAAGAACAAAGTAAATCGACACAAAATAAATCTTCACATGGATTTCCAAGATACACTCTTAGGATAAAAATAGCAAGTCACAGAACAGTACTATATTTTCATCATTTAAATTAAAAAAAAACAGAAAAAAAAAACATCAGCTTGTTGAGCATCACTAATTTTTGAAGACAGAGATTGGAAAGTAGGGATACAAACGAAATTGTCACTTTTCACTCCATTCACATGGGTATTACTTTGATCACTGAAAAATCTATTTGCATGAATTACTATGTAGCTTAAAAATAAAAGCACTTTCTCTTTAATTCACTATTAGATTATTTCTTTCTTATGCTCTTCTAATAAAATTCTCAGGCAGGATGTGAACAGAAAGAAAACAGTAAGGTTTATTGACTTCCTATCTCACACTTTGGTTCCAGTGTTTGACTATTTATGATTTCCTTCCTGTTCTCAGACAGAGTCACTAATTTTAGGTATGCCTTTATGGTTAGAGACAGCACTTTGTTTTGCTTGAATTTTTAAAACAATGGTCTTGGGAAAGAACTGCGCTTCGCCTGGGCTGCTGCTTAGCTCTGTGGGGCATTTTTGGTTTTGGTTTTGTTTCTCCTCTCATGAAACTAGGTCAGAATACTCTTCCTGACCCAAATAAAAATGGGTTATTTGAGACTAAGTTCTTAAATTGTTGCTAAAGGCTAAGTATGATAATTTAGATAATAATTTGTATTCCCAACCATAAGCAAAAAGAGAATGCATCTTCAGAACATTGATGGAGCTTCTGCATATAAAAGATTTTCAGTGGTTATCCTAGATGAAGTTGAAAACTGAATTAGAAAAATGGCTAATAGAGCCCTAACATGAAACATTAATTGGGATTTAATAGTGTAATCTTAGCCGTGGGAAAGAGACATAATGACATTCTATCGAGTCTTTGTTAGAGTTCCTTATAATTTTGCTTTAACTATGGCATCCTCGACAGTTGTGCACAATCCATTCTATGAATCAGAATCCAATTATTTTATATTAGTTTCATGCTTTTTACCCAAGAGAGAATCATAAATTGTTTTTAATCACTTCTTTTATTTTTAAATCAATAGTGTCTGCCAAGTGGGTAACATTTCCCATTAAAACATAAACTCCTATAATGGGTATAATTACTTCCTAAGGAGATAAACAGCAGCAGGAATCGACAATTTCTAGGTTTATAAAACCTAATTATGGTCTCAACACAATATTTCATTCCTACTGATCTCAAAAAGAACATAAACTTGAACAAAGCCCAGATATCTATGATAAAGTAACCGGGGAGAAGCAAGATCATTATTGCATACGGTTTGGACAAGAAGCTGGCAGAAGATATCATTGGATATTTCTCAATGATCTTCATCCAGACAGGGGCTCTCCATTTTGTTCCAACTTGCCTAAGTATTAATCTGTCTCTCTTTGTATTTCTCTTGCTGAATGGTACCATGAGAGGGTTTTTCTCTTCCTCTTTCTCCTTAACACACACCAGTAGACAGGACATACGCCTTTAGAACTCAGCAACCTCCCAATGTTGTGATACTTACATAAAGAAAGTTAATAACAGGCCCAAGAGCAAAATGGGAAGAGGAAGAGACTCACACCTGTCCCCAGCATCTACAGAAAATTCTGGCTAAGGAAGGCAAACTTTCTTGGAGGTGAAAGTCCAGGAGGGAAACAAGGAAAAGCATTAGCCACTCAATTCTTCCATGGGGACTTATTAGTAGCAAGCTGATTTTCACATACTGGCTCCTGAGGTTCAGACTGCAAGGTCAACGTCAATTCCAGAGAGAGCTCTTTCCTGTCCAACCGCTATAAAGCGGCCACCTGGTCACCCTCCATCACATTACCCCATCTTACCTCTCTACACCACACTTATTTTCTGGCGTTCGCCTTCTTGTGTTTTCTGGCCTCTTTTCCATTCCCTACCTCCACACAAGCTCCTGAGAGCAAGGACTTGTCCTCACTTGGTCTGGTCCCTAGGATATAAGCCCCAAGGCTCTAGGGACTTGGCTGGTTTTGATAACCTCCATGTCCCCAAGGTGAATTCCACATAGTTGGGCATTCAATAGTTCAATGAATCCTTGTTAAATAAAAGAATTATAGAAAGAAACCCCTTGATTCTTTGCCAAGTGTCATGGTCAGATATTAGGTGTCCCCCAAAAGCTCATGTGTGAGACAATGCAAGAAGGTTTAGAGGAGAAATGATTGGGTTGTGAGAGTTTCAACCCAATCAGTGAAATAATCCCCTGACAGGAATTAACTATGTGGTGACTGAAAGCAAGTGGGGTATGGCTGAAGGAGGTGGGTGACTGGGGGTGTGTGTGCCTTTGGGGTCTATATTTGGTGAGCTGAGCTCAGTCTCTCTCTGCTTCCTGGTGTGATGTCTTGATCTGCTTTCTCCACCACACTCCTGGGCCATGATGTTCAGCCTTCACTCAATCCCCAGGAAATGAAGCCAGCTGTTTATGGACTGAGACCTCTGAAACCATGAGCCCCCCAAAAAACTTTTCCTTCTCTGAAATTGTTCTTGTCAGGTCTTTTGGTCACATCGATGGAAAAGGTGACTACACTAAGATTGCATTGTGATAAAGCAACTGAAAATTTCCCTGTGAATTGGAGTAGTAACCTCAATTTCCAGTCCATCTGGAACAAAAGGGTCTAAAGCAAAGATGGAATCAGAAGTGCTTCCTCCATTTGAATGACAACGTGCTTGTGAGGGACACCATAGAAAGGAAAGCAGCTCCCTTCCCACTCCTGGGGCACCAAGAAGAACTCAAGGAGATGCTTGCTGCATGTGGTGGAAGCATGTGCTGAAGATCAAATAATGCTGTCACCCTTTAAGCATCACAAATGCTGCTTTGATATGCATTGGATAACAATTAGGGTGAAACACAATGAAAATATTTTTCACATGTTATCCGATATTTTCATCAGGACTGGTAAACATCAAAGACGAATATTAGCCAGAAGAAGGAGTACATGCTTGTAATCCTAGAGATTTGGGAGGCTGTGACAGGAGGATCATCAATTTGAGGCCAGCCTTGACAACTTAGCAAGATCCTGTCTCAAAATAAAAAATAGAAAGGACTGGGAATGTAGCTCAGTGGTAAAGCACCCCTGGGTTCAATTCCCAGTTCAAAAAAATAGTACCCCAACTTGCTTCATTATGATTCTCCCTTTGGAGAAGAGCAAAGCAAAGGCATATGATAACTTACAAGTTAAGATATTAAACAATAGCATTTTATTAGTGATATCATATATATGTATATTATATGATATAAAATATATTCCTTTTAGAACATGTAAAGGGTAACATATTTGTGCCTATATGTTTTAGGATAAACAACAGAACTTCACAGCATGGGATAAGCTTTTTTACACTGTGAGTAGTAATGTTTTATTTTGGAGGAAGTAAAGTAGGTATGTAGTGATCAGCTCGTGATGTCTGAAGGAGATATGGAATATGGGGCAATAGCAAGTATGGCCAGTGTTTGCCATTGCAGATTTGGAAACATATCTGGTTTAACAATCATTTTCTGGCATGTTTAATATATATATATATTTGATTAAAAAATGTATCCTGGTGATTCTGCATCTGATACACCTCAAGGATTTTGCAATAGTGTAAATAATACATCAACTACGCCACAGAAAAACAATGCCACCACTCAACTTGAATGAAAAATATACCTTCATGGTTTCCATCATCATTCCTATACAATTCTTTTAGTCCAAAACACACTATGTGAAGATCAGATCTCTAATACCTGAATTCAAAGTAGTGGGGAAAACCATATAACAAATATGCTAACACACTGTTCCTCTGTTTCTTTTGTTTTATTAATTTTGTTGTGTGGAGCTATATCTATATATACTCAAGAGAACTTTAAGTGATCAATTGAAAACTAAACTTGCTTTTCCCCTTGCAAGTGAATAACGTTTTAATTTTAGAGAACTGTTTTCCCTGATTTATTTCACTACCACATCATTTGTATTATTTATCTTTTCTTCTTACAAAAGAGCTGTTCTACACCTTTCACTGAAGGAAAATATAAAGAGGAAATAGTTGATATTTAAAAAAAAAAATAACCCACAGTGATATTCCTAATAATGCTGCTTTTTTTGTGGCCATTAGGCAGGTACTACCTTTGTGCCTTTGAGGAAGAATTAAATTTCAGCCGAGGGAAGACTCCAAATTTCCACTGCAGGACAGGTTTCCCACATGGATTCTGACCACCCCACTTACTTTTCCAAGAATGAAATCCTATTGATGTGATTTTCCAAAATATTTTGCGGAAAATAAGAGTTGATAGATGGCAACTCCTCCTCATCCATGATCCCCAAACAGGAAACGAATTCATCAGGCAGCAGGGTCTGTTCCAGAACGGGATCACTGGGTGACTTGTTTTCCAAAAACATACTGGTTTGCCCCTCAGCTGAGTTTTGTAGGTCAGGAGGACTGCTGCATTCTCCCTGATTTAAAATGAGGCTTAATTCTTCCAGAACCAGCGTGTTGCTCAGTGAATTCATACTTGACACAGAAAAACCAAAGTTAGGATATTTTTTTAACCTCATATTCCTTTCCAGGTCCAAGGAATCGACTTGTGTAGGGGTTGAGGAGTCCTGTTCATTGCTATTGCTAAGATGTTGTTCCCCAGGGAGAAAATTTGAAATCTGGGGTTTATATCCGGTGTGGAGGTCAGGAAGGTACACAATGGGATTGCTGGTGAACAGTGACTTTGGCAGGCCGTCTCTTGTCTCCAGGGACTCTATATTTTCCTTCTCGCAATCCCTGCGCTTGTGCTCTCCCAGGAAAAGGAGTTCCCTTATTTCTGTAATCATGGGATCCACATAAAGGACTTGTTCACTGAAATTGCTAGTCACACGTTCACTTTTTTCCTAAGAGGGGGAAAAAAGGACATGGTTTTGTTTTACAAAAAAAAAAATTTTTAAAGGAGCCAGCTGGATAATTGAATAAGCTCTGGAATGTACTTTCCCTCAACCTTCCTCTCTCCCTCCCTTTTCTCATATTGTTTATCTTCCTGTATGATTTCCTCCTTTTGTCTTTTGTTCTCTTACTTGCTTCCAAATCCTTATGAAATCCTCCCCAAGAGGTGACTGAAAGAAAGGAACAATAAAAATAATCCGTGCCTCTTAAGCATATTTCTCAGTTTAAAAGTTTTAAAGAGGAAGAAGGGACTTGCTGATTAACTTGCATATTAACATAGGGCTTTGGAATATATAGGAATAGTTCTTAATATTATGGAGTCTTACTACAAGGGGGGGGGGGAAGCCACTTTGTTGTTTAAATAAAAGAAAGGGGAGAGACTCCTATTTTGTTTACGTATTGAGAGTGAGGCTGTGGTGTGTGCTTGTGCTGAGGCTCTCCGGGTGCACAGCCACTCACAATTCAGGTATGTGGGACCATCAGGAAGGTGGGTGAAGGTTTCAGCCTGCTGACTTTTGAGGGAAGGACTTGAAACCTTCAAGTTGAGTGCCAGCCTCCCAGGGCAAATAACTCTAGCCAACACAATTATAAAATTAGTGCCATCTATCACAGACTGAGCATTTGTGCCAACCCCACCACCCCGTTCATATGCTGAAGCCAAAGTGATGTTATTTGAAGTGGAGGCCTTTGGGAAGTAAGCAGGTCATGGGGGTGGAGACCTCATGAATGGGATTCATGAACAAGAGACATGCGAAAGATGATCTCTCTGCCAGCTGAGGAGGACAAGGAAACCCTCAATAGAAACTCAGTTGCCTGGCACCTTCACCGTGGACTTGCCAGTCTATGGAACTGTGAGAACAAATGCTTGGTGTTTAAACCCATCCGTCTATGCATTCTGTCATGACAGCTCTGAGCAGACCACTCCTTAATGTCTTGAGCAGCAACCCAGAACTCATCTGAAGGAAACCAAGTTTCCCCTCCAATTCCGGGAGTTTGGCAAAGGGGAGGATCTCAAATAAAGCTATGTGAAGTGTTATTCAGGTTTTCTTCATGTCTTGCCTCCTCAGAGAACTTGCCAGGTTTGGGCAAAAGTAGCAGTTGGGTATTGCTTAATGGAAAAGCTTGATGTGAGGAGTGACTGGATTATGGCTGGGATGGGGACTGGGGTCACCTCACAGGTTTTGTGTTACGGCAGTTGAACTTCATTCTGTGGCAGGTGGTTTTAAAACTTTAAAAACTTTTTTTAGGTTTAGGCTAGGAACCTCTTGTTCAAATGATATGAGGCGGGGGAAAGAGTCGGTGAAGGGGCTCACCAGAGCTGCAAACAGAGCCACGCTTATTTGCTTGACAAATATGGCCTTCTCCTACCTGACGTGCTGGTCTTACCTCTGTACTTTTGCTCACATTGTCACCTCTGCTTAGAATGCTCTCGATTTCTCCTCAGTATCTCCTTCTCGTCTCTGTGTGTTTCCTGTCAAACGTGGGCTCATGTGTCACTGCATGTACATCCCTGCACTGCAATACTTGGATGACATGTCTGTCCCACTGACAGGGCTTCGAGGCCCTGGATAGCTGAGCAGATAGATGGCTAGAAACACACAGAGACCCTCTCCCTCTTCCACGGCCAGCAAAGCCCTATCCTCAGTCTTCCTGTGGTTCACACCCTTCTCTTTGCTGAAATGGAAACCTGCCTACCCACTGGGGACACCATCCTCCAGTCCCCTCATGTTAATTGCTCATATTCCCCTGGGTTTAAAATAGAAAGTGGTGTCCTCCATAAGCTCCACCACTTCTCTACCTCATGTGAAACAGAAGCCTCTTTGAGTCTTTGAAGCTCATTCCATGGAGTTTTCTTCCCTCCATCCTTTGCGCCCAAAGACATCTGCCAGTTTCTTGGTCTAATGACCTCAGTACCTGACCCACAGTCTTCCACTTCACATTTCTCTCTTGAATAGTATGGTTTCTTTCTTCCCTCTCTGTTTTCCTCTCCTAACCCTATTCCTTCATCTCTTTTAAGTAGGATTTGAAAGATGTACAGTTTTGTTTCTTTAGACATGTGTAATTATGTTAATATGTGGAGCCACATATTTGAATGGAAATTCTACTTTAATCATTAGACCCCACTCTTGGTCCCAATTGCCACTCTGTTTTTATTTGATGGTGTTTGGTTACCTGAAGCATTTTCACAATATTACTGTTTTCCACGTTCGGTATATCTTCATAAAGCCACTTTGGTATCAGCAATAAGATTTTCCTTTTAATTCTAAAAAAAATCAAACATGACATATTAGAAGGATCATTTTACTTTATGATTGGTGCAGGCAATCATAGGAGATGAAGAGGTAGAGAAGGGAACAAGTAGAATGGAATGCAAAATAAAAATCAGACTTCCTGATACAGGGACAAAGGTTTTCATCTCTTAAAGTTAAGGGAAAGCTGACTCAGTATCTTTTCAGGTATTCCTCTGGTCTCTATTGTTCTGCTTCTTTCTAATGAGCAGGAACATTTCAAAACACATTAGGTTCAAGAGAATTGGGAGAAACCACACACTTGTTAAATACAGCAAACCACTCTAAGCAGATCATGCCAGGGTGGGAAAGTTTGAAAAAGTGAGGGATATTTTGTAAAACTTTCTAAGGCAACCATAACTATTAAATACAAAAGAAGAGACTATTATATAATAAAAACCTATAATTCAACCTCCCCTAATTCTAAATTTTGTAATTATTCCAAATACTGTTGACACAATTATCAAATTTTCTTTACTTGGTTGGAATAGGAGGTAAGGGAACAACTATGTGGTGTGGTGAGCACTGGTTTTCACCTAGACTGTGTGCTTATTAAGTATCCTAGGGATGAGTTGATGGAAAGAAGAGAGAACTTCCTGCCCCTCCAACTTATTCTTGGTGATGCCACTAAGTTTAAAATACTTCACATATTGAAAATTCAAATCCATAGGGTGGAAAGGTTTCACCAGAAACATGGAAGAGACTAAACTCATCTCAGGCTTAGTTTTACATGTTAACAAGGGCCTGCGAACAACAGATAGGACTTGGGAATCTGTTTTAAACAGATTCTCTAAAACTTTTTATTAAGTAACAACCAAAATGGCTGGATGAATGCCACAAGCCCTATTTGACCTTGGACTTTGGGGTAAAAATGATTGCTTTACATATATTTATACAATGTTTTGTGATTCAGTTTTTTTTACTCCTTCTATATTTAAAATTTGATCAAACTAGTAAATTCTTGTTATTGTGGTAAAGTTTTTATATAGCACATTGATACAGTGAGAATATATTTATATATATTTACTTAGTTTTGGTTTCATTATGTTTAAAATGTTTTGTCTTCTGTTGTCCAGTTCTGTTTCTGATGTAGGGATTTTATAAATAATGTATTTTTTTTTAAAAAATCTTTGTTCTATTTGTTTATTTTTTATATTGTGCCGGGGATCGAACCCAATGCCTCACACATGCTAGGCAAGTACTCTACCACTGAGCCACAACCCCAGCCCATAAATAATGGGTTTTTATATAAATTAACAATAACTGCTTATATGTAAAATAGCTATATTGGAATTATCTTTGTTTCTTTTATCTTTTAAAAAAGTGTACTTATTCAACTAATTAAGTTAATCAAGAATTATCTTACTTCTTTGTCATTACCAACCCAAAGTTAGTTTTTAGTTGTTTTTTTTTTTTTTAACTTGTTGATGGGCCTTTATTTATTTATTTATATGCAGTTCTGAGAATTGAACCCAGTGCCTCACACATGCTAGGCAATACTCTACCACTGACCTACAATCCCCGCTCCAGTTTTTAGGTTATTTTTAATAATAAACCTAAAGTTATTTAAAATTTCAAACTAAATAGGACATCTTTGGATAAGAACACAAAATTTAGAATACTTATGTAGCATTACTTTGAAATTAGGATTAGATTTCAAGGGGCTTTATGATCAAGCATATTTTAAAACTACCTAAAATGAAGTTCTAGTTGCCACCTTGTCAAGGTATTAGGGATATGCTCATTAATGTGTAATTTAAATTTTGAAATATTACTTAAATTCTAAGGGAAAATCTAAGAAATCATTAAAATACTTTATTTCAAATAACTCACTTAAAATCTTTCTTTCTACTGCATTTTGATAACAAGTTTTAAAGAACGATTATCTCACGAAGCAAGTGATGACAAGAAAGAGAAAATCAGTGCCAATTTGGCAAAGAATGTTCCTATGTGTCAACATCTGTGCGTAATTGGATATACTGGGAAACTGCCACATGAAACGACCTGTCTATGGACACATTGGAGATACTCAAGGCATCCAGTAAAACTGAGAGGACCAAAGACCTTGCTTTTCTCAAAATCTCATAATAATCTCAAAATTTCAATAACTAGGCACAGATCTCCACTAACACTATATAGTAGGGAGACAGATTGAAAGAATCAAGAAGAAGGGGCTGGATCCCTCACCACCAACACTACTGGTAACAAAGTGACAAATGCAAACATCCATACTTCTTTCCACACTGATTCAGCTGATTTCTTTGGGTAGAATTCAAGGTTTGCTATCATGGTTACTTAGAGGAATCCAGGTGCTGTGGATAGCTTGGGGTGCCATGGAAAGGCTGTGGGGGGTGGGGAGCACGGGTGTGGATGTCAACACTGTCTAGCTGGACTCCTGGCCTAGTGCTCTATGATCCCAGGCAGAGGACAACCTCTCAGCCTTGTTCAGGTCTTCTGAAAAACAGGCCATGGCACTTTTTGGTAGGTCACTGTGAGGATTAAATGAACGGTATTTGTAAAGAGCTTGGCACTAAGCATTGGACCTTTAATTTTCCTTTTGCTGAGTAAAAAGGTTAATGGGCTTTTCTAGTAAATAACTGAATTGACAACATTTTGATAGCACATATATATGGCCTAAATTAGAACACAGAAACTACAAAAACCTACCCAGTTCGGAGCGATCTGTTAAATATCCCAATCAAAGAGAGAATTGACAACATAACAGCAAAGAAGACCATGCCCGATAAAAGTCCAATGTCTTGCCTGTTGTCTAATGAGAGGAAAGAAAAATAATTTTAACTAAGCATTAGCGTTCATCTGATGCCAGCAGTATTGTTCTCTCTACTCTGTTCAAAGTGAAGGTCACTGATCTCAAAGGAAGAGGAAAAGCGGAGGCAAAGACCACCTATGCCTTGGGCTATGAAGCGTCTGCTCTTTCAAAATGCATGACTAGACCCCCAGGAAACAGCCTTATTGGTTTGAGAAAATTGGACTGATGTTATCTGGTGTCAGCAGGTTTCTAGAAGTACATCTCCAGCAGATGTGGTCAGCTTGTGAATGCATATTTCATTTAAAAACATTTAGTTATGAACCTCATTTGGTTTGTTTGACACAGGTGAGAATTCCCAATTGCCTGTGACAAGGTCTAATGCTGGCCACCATCACAACCGGGATTGTTGTGTTTTGTTTTGTTTTTAACCATTTATGTGAGACAAAAATCTGTGTGCAACCTCTCGTCATTCTTCATGAAATTTTTCCTGCTGAGAAAGGACATTCACTCTACCTAGAACAATAGATGGCATAAGAAAGAAATCAACGTTGCTATAGTCTTATACTTATTTTAGAAACAATGCTGTTCTTGCATTTTGGCATTGAGTTAATTTCCTTTAAATAATTAAAATAAGTTATTCAGCATGTGTTACCCACCACACTTATCACATTTTCTCCCTAGTACATGAGAAAACCTGATATTCAAATAAAGAAGATAGCTAAGACATGACTTAGATTGGACTTTTCTCTAGAGCCATGCTGGGTTTTGGCCTCCCTGTGGTCCTCTGTCCTCCCTCACTACCTCTTTTCGAATACAAACCAGGAAACACATACTATATTGCCCCCACCCTAGTTATTGCCCTTCTGTGCCTGCTATGCCCTTTGGGATCTCCAGACTGACCAGCTTCTCTCTTAAACCCAATTGGCAAGAAGACATTTGTGTAGCTTTATCTTCAAATCCCATAGGAATAGGACACTGGTGTTTTCCCAGAGCTAAAGATCCATGGATGAATATTTCAAGCCACTAAAGGGATTATGGACTGCCACATTCCTTGGATTGAGGGCTCCCCAATTATCATGATGCTGGAAGAAGAGGTCTAAGAAGTAGGGAGAAGCAACCAAGAGCTGAGCTGAACTCTGCCACTTACGAGTTCTGTGACTGTGGGGCATAATTGTAACATGTTGAGGCTCAGGTTCCCTCTTCCATAAAATAGGGATTTTAATACTTATCTAGTAGAACTGCCTTGAGTTCTTGGCCTCCACAATTCCAACAGAACTATCAAGTTGCATGTCTGTATAGACATCCATAATTAGGAATCTGCCCTGAACTTGAGCACTTGGCTCATGACTGATTTGCATCTACAAATTCAGGATGCCATCACCCTGTCTGGTGTTTCTTTGTAACACTTAGCCACCAACTGGTTTTCTTGTTGTTTTTGTTGGTTATTTTTCTCCTCTATCTAGAATGGAAGCTCCATGAAGATTGGGGGCTTTGATATTCTTCTTCTTCTTCTTTTTCACTACTAATTTCCCATCACTCAAACTAATACCTGGCACTTAAGAGTTGTTTACTGAATATTTGTTGAATGAATCAATGAAGGTGCAAGGAATATCAACACAAGCTGTAGAAGTTCTTATACTGGTCCAGTCAGATCTCTATGCAAAGAGATAAATGGTCTACCATGTTGAAATGATCATGCCAAAGTTTTTCAGTCTGAAACTTATACTTAGAGTTTTACTTGCTCATGGTTACAGTCTGGATGTGAGGTGTCCTCCATTAGCGCCTGTGTTACTGCAGAAATGTTCAGATGATTGGATTGTGAGAGCTGTAACCTAATCACTCCATACTAGTTTGAATGAACAGACTGGGTGTAAACTATAGGCAGGCAGGACATGGCTAGGGGAAGTGTGTCACTGAGGGCGTGCCTTGGGAGGGAGCAACTTACCTTTCCTAGGCTCTTCCCCCAAGCCTTATCTTAGGCTCAGAGCAATGGAGTAGGCCATCTATGGACGGAGAACTTCGAAACTATGAACCCCAAATATATTTTCCTCCTCTAAGTCATTCTTGTTGGGCATTTTGGTTATAGCAATGCAAAAGCTACTTAAAGCACCCATTACACAACCTAATCTAATATTTTTAAATATTTTATTTAATCTGATATTTTAAAGCACCCATTACACAACCTAATCTAATATTTTTTCACGCCGAAAACATTTAATTATGCTCATCAGCAGAATCATACCCAGTCATATCAACAAATTAAATGGGAGCTACTTGTGTAAGAGAAAGAACACAGATTTCAGGGTTTAAAAGAACAGTATTTGAATTTTTATCTGTCCCTTAGCAGCTGTGTGACCTTGGACTCATTCCTCCATCCCTCAGAGCTTTGGTTTTTCTCATTTACAAAATAGATGCATAACACTTATCTCACCAGATTGTTTTGAAGATTAAAAAAGATGATGTATATAAAACTCCTAGCACATGGTAGACAGAGAGTGGTATATTTTTAGAAGTTTTTGGGACTTGAGACCCAGCACCTACCTACTGAGATGAAAATCTGTTCAACTCACTGTAAAAGTTGGCAAAATCCACCTAAACCTCTCCTTTACTTTAATTTTAAACATATTTTTGTACTTTGCTGAGTATTTTTCTATAGAAAGCATATGGCATATCTTATTGCCCAGAAATTCATGCCTGCCATGTGAATTTTCAGTGTGGGGGTTAAAATGGGTGGTTATTGAAGACTCTGAAAAAGCCTCGGTGTTATTTTCTTACCAGAAGTAAAGTGTCCTTTTAAGGTGGAAGAAATGAGAAGGTCAGAATTCCGAGTATCATGTTGGAAAGATTTTGGTGTGACCTGGGGGACTTAAAAAGAAAAGAACATCAAGAAAAGAGCACTCAGGTGGCTCCATTTCTTCAGAGACTTTCTTCCCTTGCTCAGAGATGATTAAAGTCAACCAGTAACTTTCATAGGTTTGAAGGGTGGAATAAAAGCAATGGCCTGCAAGTGTGTCTTTTCTCTTTTTTAAATTTAATTTGGTAAATCTCCAAGGAGGAAATATTGCAAGGACAATTAGAAACCGCTGAGGGTTTGTAAAATTTCAGGGTGTGTCCACTAATTTCATGAGGCTTCTAGGCAACAAATACCAAGGAGCTTTATTTCACTGAGCCAGAAAAATGCACAATAATTGGTTTCTACTTGATTCCTTCCAATAGATGATGCAATAAGGTTTAAGTTTCCTTAAGGGCCTTGGAGATGTGTCACTTTGGGCCTTTGTGCAATCTTTGGGAAGCTGTTCGCCCCCTCTTGGCTTCCCACAAGAAGCTCAATTTTGATTAGCAGACACTTTGGGGTTGTAACACAGGTGTGGAATGTCATTAATGACTCCTCTCTGCTCCTTTCCCAATGGCAAGGATCCTGGCCGGCACTGCCTAGTCATGAGGGCTGTCTGAGGCTTGTTAATGAAGGCCTCCAACCAGGGATGGGTGAGTAGTCTTGGCAGCTAACTCACTTTAAGTCAGAACGCAAAAGTTCCAGAGAGACCTTGCCAGTCCGCCCCTTTCTGATACTTAGAAGCTGCCAGAGGTGACTTCAAGGACACAATTCTATCAGTTATCAGAAGACATTTCTGAAGATGGTTTTAAGTTCTGCATCTCCAGGAGCCCCTCAAGCCCTTATTTACTCAGTCAGTATTCACATTTTTCTTTTCAAAATATTCTTCTTGGTCCAGGCAGGAATCACAACTTAAGGCATCCTTAACTGTCACTGAGATATCACAGGATTATATAATAAGCTATGTGGCCCACAAGATTTTTCTTTGAGAAATAGAGCATACATTTTTAGTGAAAAAATTCCTATGGGTTTTTGGAAATTTTTGAGAAAGGCTAATTTGGGTGCAGGAACAAGCTCTATTGAAGGGCTGTTCTCTAAGAACAATAGGGCAGGGAATTTTAGAAGATGAAAACATTGTAAAAGCCAAAAGTTCTTTCCTGTGTTTTTATTCTGGCTTCTCTACAGCAAAAGGAAAGTGTTTCCTGTGAATATGGCTTCTCAATACTTTACTAAATTTCTTTTTCTCCCTGGTGTAGGGCTCCATCAAACTCTGAAGGGTTAAGGTTGTACCCTAACCGTGGGCAGCCAGGTTCACGCATCTAAATCTCTGTTTAACAAGCCAATGTTTATTCTCGGAGAGCACAAGCTGGAGTCTGTATTTGCCTTAATTTGAAATTTTAACAGTAGAAATAATACCTTAAAATGCAACAAGATTTTCAAGTTGGCAGAATCATAGGTTTATAAACATAGGTTGCAGAATTATTTTTATTTTAACTTTTGTTATTTTAAAATTTGTATTTTTATTTAAAAGTGATAAATAGTGTTGTTGGTTTTCAATTCAGTTGAATATAATTCTGTTTTATAAATTACAGGTGATTATTTGGCATTGAAACTTCATTTAGTTATTATTTGGCATCATATAAAAATAATTTTCACATCTGACTAGGGCTTTATTAGCCCTAATAAAGAATAAATGCAATCTTCCTTTAGGGTCTATTTGCTATCAGACTTTCAAATCAACCAGATGCAGTCATTTAAATTAGATTAAATTAAAGTTACTTAAAAGAGGTGCTTAATTATCAGAGGGTAATTTTACAAAGAATCAGATATATGAAGTAACATAACTTGTAAACAAGATTATCAGAGACAAAATCAAGTCAATGACAAAATTTTTAATCATGGGACTGAAACAAAGCCAGAGACCGTATTCTTCATGGCATACTGCCACCAAGTGGCTAGGTCATTTCTTTTTAAATTATACTTAACATTTTTCATTAAAAAGCAAAATTTATAATAGAGAGAAATATTTTTAACAAGAAAAAAGGAGAGAAAAATAAAATAATTTCATATCCTCAGTTTGCCAGTTATTAATTATTTTCTAGTATTTTGAAACATTTTAACATATAATGAAAGCATTCCCAAAATGATGTGCCCACATGCATGCACACACATACACAAAAAGATTCCTTTACAACTGAAAAACATATCAGCTGTAATGGTCAGGATATTTTCTAAAGTGCTAGAAAAACCCCGAGATATTTTCATTATTTGTATAGTATGTGCAGTGTTAAGGTCACAATTGGGACAGTTCTATTCATGCCACAGGAAGTTAAATATGCCCATTACCTTCACAGGAGTGTACTCAGAAAACCTAACTCGTCTCTAATTTGGGGAATCTGGGGAAATTTTTTATATGGTTTATATGCCCTGCTATTGAACTTTAAAGTTAGCCTTATAGAAGACAATGTGTTGGAAGGGAATTTAGAGTGGTTTCAAACAAGACATGTAGTTTCTTATTCACGGACAAAACTAAAAGCATATCATAACTATATTCTTTAGCCCAACAGATACCAGGCTAAATTAATCAAATCCATTCAAAAGGACCTGGTTTTAGTAATAATGTATTACATTTATTTCTTAGAGGCAATGCCAAATCATCTCCATGACTTTTCTGTCTGTCTAGTGAGGGGCAAAGTGTGATTTGTTATCCTTTTGAAGCAATCATTTAATGAGTATTAATTATGTTCCAGGCAACATATTATTCTTTACATGCTGTCTCTCATTTAATCTTCATAGCAACTCAATCATGTAGATAATGCTATTGTCTCATTTTATGGATGAGAAAACAAAAACTCAAGGTAAGTAACTTGCCTGATGTCACTGAGGTAGAGGGTGAAGAATGGAAATTCCCATCTAGTTCTGACATGTAATTTTTTCTGGTCGCTAGTTCCTTTAATTAATAACCTCAGTTCTGCAGCAGGACAGCTCAGGGTGTGGTGCACAGTCAGCCCTCCAAGCAGCCTTCCCAGACTGGAGCTTAGCATTGCTCTTCTGGGGCCACTCATGGCGGGTAGAGCTGCTGGCCTCTGGGGCTCCAGACCCCACCACTATGGGCTACAATTGGACTAACCCAATTAGCACTGATTCTTTGAATCTTCAGCCCAGGATTAAATCAACTGTTTGATTGTACAAGCAATATGTGCTAATTATAGGATGTTCAAAAATATAGAAAAGTATGGAGATGCATTAAAAAACTTTATTTTTACTCTCCAACTAGAAGTAATCATTTTTAATATTTGTTAACAGAATTTTTTTTTTGTATCTGTACCCTGGTGGAGATCATACTCATTAATAAATGTTGTGCTCTGCCTTTTTCATTCAACATTTCCTTATTTTATTAAAAATTGTTTGAGCGCTGGGGCTGTAGCTCAGTGATAGAACTCTTGCCTAGCATGTGTGAAGCACTGGGTTTGATCCTCAGCAACACATAAAAATAAATAAAAGGTCCATCTACAACTAAGAAAAAATTTTTAAATTAAGACATTATCATTATCATTATTTTTAGTATTATTAGGGATATTTGAGATTTTATCACGTTTATACTGAATTTTTTCAGTTATAGTCATACTGAGAAACTGTACACCATGGTAGTTTCAAACACCAACTGTGAACTCAAATGAAACTCGGTCAAAGTCCTGCATCCACTAGTTGGAGGAGTATGGTTCTGGCAAATTGTTTAACCCTTCTATGACTCAGTTTCCTCATTTGTAAAATTGGTTAATAGCAGTGCTTCACATTTGAGGCTTAATTAGATAGTTCATATCTCGCAACTCAGTACCATGTTTTATATCAATTAAAACCCTAATAAGCATTAGTTATTGCTATTGTGAGACTTACAGATTGTTTTCAAATTCTTACTATTATGATTAGCTTTAGGATAAATATCATTGTACATAAACTTCCTTTCCATATCTCTTGATTTCCATATCTTGGATTATTTCCTTAGGGCAGACTTTTGCAAGTAAAATTACTGGGCCAAAGAGTCTTAACACCTAAGAGGTTTCTTTATTTACCTATGTCTTTGCCAACCTTGTGTCAAAGCCATGGTAATCAAGGTCTGCCTCATAAAGGCTTTGATTAGAGATAAGACATGGATCTTTTTAGGACTTTCTTTCAGAAGATTCTAGATGTTCAAGAAGAGGAATCATAGTAAAAATAAAATAATAATTAAAGAGCAAAGGGTGTGTTTTCAAAATCTTTGGAGTTTTTTGCTCCCATCCTAGTTTTGTTAAATACAAACATCTCTTTTTTGGCTTCTCTCTAATCTCTTTCTTGGGTGCTCTACTGTACCACAGTATTTAAGAAAATAGCAATTTCTCCAGGCCAGACCAGTTTAGCCCTGTGGTTGGAATTCACCATTATTGTGCAGACAGTGGTCACACTTATCAAGTAGGCACCAGAAGCCCAGGGCAGAGAAAATGAAATGTCAGCAACACACTCATTACCACACCTTGAAAAACAAGTCAAACAATGAATCATGTAGTAGATGAATGGATTATGTCAACTATATATATTAAGGATGACAAGGTGTGCAGAGACATATCCAAGGGACTATCTTCATTCATATAATCCTAGGCTGTGAGCATTTTTTATCTTCAGAGAGAAGGGGGTACAAAATGTACAGATGGCAGTTGTATTATTAAGGCAAAGAATAAAAGGAGGAAAAGGTAAAAAGCAGCAATCATCTAGAAAATTTCCCTCAGTGGTATGGACCATATATAGATGAGGGCCTGATGTTGAAGTGTAGCAAAACTCAATGTGTGAGAATGGGGAGCCTTCCACACCTATCAGTAGTCAAAGATCTTTCAAAAATACAGCCCTGATCTCCAGCATTGCTTGTCCTAATTCCTGAGTCCAAAGAGTCTGGTAAACATTTGCTTTTTTTTTTTTTTTGCCCAACACTAGGACTTACTTCCTTGTGGGCATTCTAACATAGGTCAGAGGCAAGTAGGGCTTCCCTCTTCAAAAGTCT